AATGGTAAGTATCGTATACAATGTAAGGGTGGATTAAATTTTATACAGAAATGGAATGTGTGTTATATTCAAACTAATATATCTAAATACTGGAGATTGAATAATTTTGTTTTTCTGAATAGGCTCAATGAAATGATAAAATTTCTCATATTAAATAGTCAATATAAAAAAAGAAGTTATATGTTCTATTGTAACAGTCGATTTTGATGGATTCTATGGTTTACGATGAGAACAGAAGAAAAAAAAGCCTCGTCTTTCAGCTAACTTGTAGAGTGAATGTGAATGCTTACTGTGCAAATCGGGAAACCAGAAGACAGCATCTACAACCATAGGCGCACCTTAATTCACACCTACATCGTAGTTCAATTAAATTCTGGTGTTCTCTAATGTTGTCAGTATGTCAATCACAACATTTGAAAGAAGAAATCCTCAGTAAATTTTTATATATGCAAGGACTATTCGCCGTCCAACTTGAATTGAGCAGAGATCTACGAGGTTTTTATGATTAAGATAATGGATAGTGGAAACCGTTCTATTTCAAACAATATTTAAAAGCGGTCTGAAAACCACTTCTTTTGCAATAATAAATTGTAAACAAGTAATATTTAGTTTAAGAACTGTATTTAAGATTGAAAAGTTGATATTGTATGCAAATAGTATATATCAATTTATATTTCGTGGAGCAGTGAAGGCCAATTATTATTCCCTTCCCTCTCCGTATGACTGTATATAACATTAGGATACAGGAGGAAAAGACTGGCGCAGTGGAGGGAAACCTCAGCTGTGATAATAAGAATCACGGTGACCTTGCACTTGCCCCTTCTCCCGTCCCTCTTCTTTGTTTTTTTTTTCTTCCCTCTTTCTTTTTCTTTTGTATTTTTTGTTCTTGTACCCTTCCTTAGTCTTTTCCCCCTTTTTCTCTTTGTTTCTCTTTTAACACCTCATGTAAGCACTTCAGAGTGTTACAATAAAACGCAAAAACAAAAAAAAAAAGATGTTCTTACATATACAGACCAACTCTCTCTTAAAAGAAATGAAAAAAGAAATTTCAAAAAAGAAAAAAAATTATTTGGTTTCAACTCCATCTACAATTTCAATTTCTTCATCCAATTCTATTAATTCATTTTCTGGTGATACCACCATTACTCCATTCGTTTCGAAAAAAAATGAAGCTCAACATTATGAATTCATTACTACATCTATAGAACAATGGTGTATTCAAAATAAAAGTGCACTTGCTTTTCGCAATTTTAATTTTGTTTATGGTATTGACTATTATTTGAAGTTTAATCCGTCTCTTGACAAAGCCGATATCATATGCTCGTGTGGTTTGCCATCTTCTCTTTTTCTTGCTGAATCAGGCAACTTCAAGGTAAAGTTTTTTTGATAAATTTATTGTATCAAAAAGTATTCTTTTCGGCTCATCGAAAAGAAACATTGTCCTATGATAGAGATTGAACATTTTAACCTTAGACATATATTACTTAATTAATTTCTTTGATCATTGCTGCAGAGGGTAAAATAGATACATTTTTCTAGCAAATTTTACAAAATCATGCTCATATGAACAACTTGCTCACCAATGTGTGCAAAAAAGTATCAATGGAGGTTTTCTTTTTTTCTCTACTAGGTATCGAATTATTTTCGTCATCTGAAAACAACCTGTTCGATCGTTCGACGCAAATCTATTAATAATTCAACTGATCATGAACAAATACATGATAACACTGTTATCTCTCGAAGTTCATCTTCATTTTCATTGTCACAACAACCATCTACAAATTCTATTCGAAAATGAGCACGGCAAACAACAGCCGTTAATGTAAACAAGAAAAAGATTCGAACAACATATATGATTTTTTTTTAATTTTATAACTTTGATTTTTACTAATGTTAAAAATGTGTATTTACTGTTTATAATTGTTTTTTTTTATAGGTACTTAGAAGAATTTATGAATAAAAGAGAAAATGTCTTCTATGAAAGATATAATGATAGTGTACAATAAAAAAAACGAAAGCTTTTTTTTGTCATTCTCGTACTTATAATTGTAGTGGATAAAATAAATTTTTTGCCCGCTTGCCGTCATTTTTTCAAGTGTGCAAGTTGTGCCGATATCAATATCACCTCCCGCTGATCTTCCTTTCCTCTTCCCTCTTTATCTTATCTCTCTATTGTTCTTTTCTGTGCTCATCTCTTTCCAGAAAAAGAAAGAGAGATGAGCACAGGAAAGAACAATAGAGAGATAAGATAAGAGGGAAGAACAAAGGAAGGTCAACGAGAGGTGATATTAATATCGGCACACAAGTGACTGGTCCTATTTATGTTCATGTTATATTTTTACATTCATTTAAAAATATAGCATGACTGAAACATCGCTTTCAATTCCAAATAATGTACTCGATCTTCGAGATAATGATTTTTTTTAATTTCATCGGTCAGTTTTGTGGTCAAGATATCGTGAAATATTTTAAACTTCTTGGCGTTCGCTCTGTTGATTCGCTCCTTGGAATTGATGATATTTTTTTACCATTACAAGAAGACTATCTCGAATTAGTTGATGTGAAGAAAAAATTAGCATTTCATCATTCCGATGGCAGCTATGTTTAATAAATTAATGAAAAGTCTTTGAAATGTATTAATTAACAAGGGACAAATAATAAGTGATCTTGACAACGAAAATGAATTAATTTTGATACCAGAGGTTCTTCGACAATACCCGTTTCTTAAACGTCTAATTGATTTCTACATCACGTTATCACAAAACCCTGATTCAACTAATGATATTTTTCTTCACCATTTCCTCGATAATCTTTTTTCAAATTTACCTACAGCTAGGCATGTACCGAGACCGAGAGCTCGGTCTCGATGTCACTGAGTTTCGTTAAGTGAGATAGTGACACAAGTTTTCTTTGAATGAATGAACACTTTTCTCTGCGGATACTCTATATAGCTTAAGAGTAGCTTCATTAAGAAGTATTCTTATCAACTATGTCTAACATTTTCTAGAAACCAACAGCCTGACCAAGCCTAAGGCTGTCTGAGTGCTGATCAAAATTTATATGTTGTTTAGCTTTTCGACTAGACCGATCTAGGACTATACCGAGTAATGAAGACTCTGACAAATATGAAACTTTTCCCTAAGAAGAACTTCCAGAGTTTCACGGGCTCTTTATTTAGAGTTGCTCAGTTTGACTTAATTTATATGTACATACGCCTGTGTAGATTGATTACGACAGTGACATGCCAAGTTTCAGTCAGTTTCAGTTGAACAATTGAAAAAAGCACAATTTTGACCAACATTGACTGAGACTCGACCTTTTACTCTCGTAATCGAACTCTTCATTTGTATGTGCATATAAATTAAGTCAAACTGAGCATATATAATAGAAATATTGTAGAATCTTGAGGACTCCCCTCTTGGAGAAAGAGGTGCCTTCTTTCCTAGTGTATCTTCAGTCTCAGTATATCTCTATCTACACATCACTCTTTACTGAGAGGATTCACATGCCTTTAATAACAACCTTTTGTTAGTTGAAACACTGTCTCAACTCTAAATTATAGATCCTTTCACATCTAGGTCAGACAGTATAGAAATCATATATTATAATTCGTATAAGAGAAAAATGATGGATGCATCAGAACAGATGATCCTCTGAATATTTTACCTCTAACTGCTTCTTTTTTTTCATCTGAAGAACATGATTATGTCATAGAAAGATGCACCGTGAAATCTATATAAAGTGACCTTTTTCATCTTAGCTCAATATCATTCATTATAATTTAAGTCGAAATAATTCCACTTGAAAAAATTATGTACACTTTCCATAACCAATTATTTTAAAGCTTTCTCGAATATAGGTTTTTCTGCCATTTTTTTATTAAATTTCATTGATAATTTTTCTAGTTGAGAAGCAATCCGAATTCGTCAATATTCCAGAGATACCTACACTCTAAAAAACCGGTACTTTACCAAGCCCCCAAAAAAGGTTCAGTAGATTTGAAATAGCGTCCAAATGGTTTGAAATGTTTAGAAAACGATTTTTCACTTCTACGAAACCCTTGAAGATTCTTCACCTAGATACTCGGTCCGAACCATCCCCTACGAAACCTTTTTTTAAGTTCTGTAAAGCAAAAAAAAGTTTCGTAAGAAAATACGGAACCTTTCGAGTTTCGTACTAAACCCTAATAGTTTCGTAGTTTTTTTTCTACGAAACTCTAAAGGTTTCGTATGAAACTTTTTTTTGCTTTACGGAACTTAAAAAAAGATTGCGTAGGGGATGGTTTGGACCGGGTATCCAGGTGAAAAACATTTTAAGGTTTCGTCGCAGTGAAAAATCGTTTTTTAAACATTTCAAACCATTTGGACGCTATTTCAAATCTACCGAACCTTTTTTGAGGGTTTCATAAAGTACCGTTTATTTTTAGAGTATAGGCTTCCCTATCTTAGTTTAATAGATAATTATCGGAATTTAAAATGATATCCCAATGAAAGTTTATAACAAGGGGAAAATAAAGCTATATTAGAAAAAACTATAAAATAACTATTTTTGCAAACTATTTATAGTGTTTTCAAGTGAAACTATTTCTATTTAGAGTACAATTAACGATATTGAGCTAAGATGAAAAAGACCACTTCATACAGATACAGAATTTCATGATGCATCTTTCTATGATAAAATTATGTCCTTTTGATCAAAGAGAGAAGTCAGAGATAAAACATTGAGGGAGCCATTTATTCTGTCGTATCCATTATTTTATTTTTACAATTTATTATCGAAATACCTTTGCCTAAAAAATATGAAAGGAAGAAGTATTCATCAGAAACAGCGTGAGTAATGTCCCTTTCGACCTTCTCTCTTTAGAATCATTGTTGGATTATCTTTCGTAATGGTATGATATTTATCAATAATAAATGTATCCGTCTTAGATCCATTTTTTCTTTTTTCTCTTGTAATCATTCTTCTTCCCATTCTTTTAAAACAAAAAATAGCTCTTTAGAATGTGGCTCTCTGTCTCCTATTCCATATCATGTTTTTATTTAGCTACTATAAAAGTATTACTGAGAAAAGAAGAATAAAAATGTCACTAATTTGCGAAGTTATATAATAAAAGAAGAGAGGTTTTATATTTTGGGCGAGACATCTTCGAGCACAGCAATGCTGACGGAAGATTGTCGATCGTTTTATTGAAAGTTAAACCAACGCAATACTATTATGAGCGAATGATGAGCATTCAATAACTGCAAGCAGTAGGTGAAAGTCGCTGCAAACTTTAATCTTTCCATCATCGTTATTATGTTTAATTAAAAACAATAATCGGCCATTTAAGTATGAATAGTACTTTTTTTTCCAAAGGAAGTCTATAGAATAGAGACTTCGAGACATATTATCGTTTCGATAGAGGCTATATAATAATGAAGTAGAATAAGAAGATTATTCAGAACCTTTAACAATGGTTCTTTATGCATCAAGAGATCATAACTATGATAAAAGCTAACTTCTGATTATTACATATAATAGCACAACACGCGTTCACTTCGATATATTAAGTTTTTTCATCAAGAACCAATTTTTATAATACCCTCACTAATAAGATTATTAACTGAAGATCAAAACCTAACAAGACAGTGAATATACTGAAATTGAAATTTCACTAGTACAGATAATAATGTTTTGTTTTCATAAATCGACAAGACTGCTAGATGTTTGTTGCTAATGAATCATCCTACTTTCATCTAGCTCTGTGTATTAGGAGTAGCTCGATCCTGAAAGAAAAAGTACAAATTTAAGTTAATCCCACTCAAAAAGTTCAATGCTTTCATTGAATCTAAATAAGGTGTAGTCTTTTCCTTTCGTGATCCGACTATTCGTACGTATACAGAGTTAGATGAAAGCAAACGAATCAATTAGCAATAAAGACCCTGTAGTCTTGGAGATATTTGAAAATGAAAAAGTCTCTTCTAGGCCAATAAATATTTACTCTCGATCTCGGTACATCCCTACCTACAGCCAAAAACCGGCATCGTTATCAAGAAAATATACTTGATTTTGCACTTTCCTTGTTTATTTTGGCAGGACGCTAATGCTTATGAATTTTTACGCCTTAATATACCTGATGCATTACCTACTTTGACAACCATTCAAGCAAAATTAGCAAAAGAAGGACTTCGTGCATTAGAAGGTGAATTTCGTTACAATGATATGATTAAATATATGTCTACAATTGATTCAAAGTTTGCATTTTATGCTGAAGATTGTACTACCGTACAACGAAAAGTTGTTTATGATACTCGATCAAACTCGTTTGTGGATTTTACACCGCCACTCGACGAATATGGTATGCCACCAATGAGCCATTTCCAAACAAACTCTATCGAGGATTTAAAGCGTTGGTTTGAACAGGAAGATATTTCTAATTTGCTCAATCTTTACATGATTCAACCAATACATAGCAACAATCAAAAAATTTCTCCTTATGCACTTGCTGCCTATGGAACAAATGGGAAGTACACTTCGTTTGATATTATTCGCCGTTGGTTTACAATTTTTGAAGAAAGCTCAAAACAAGGTGTTCGAATCTTGGGTTATTCAACGGACGCCGATCCCAGGTGTTTATTGGCTATGAAATTAGTCTCCGGCTTTTTTGCCATCTTATTGAATAGTCCAACAACACAACACTCTTTATTATTAACAGTTGATATACCGAAGTCTTGGTCATGGTTTTTTTTACCGGCTCAACAGCTATTCTTGTGTATGCAAGATTCGATTCATATTTGTACGAAGCTTCGGAATCGGCTTTTATCAACGACAGCTGTTATGATGATAGGAGATGGCTTAGTTACTATTGATTATTTGTTACGACTCATCGAATCACAATCAAAATTCAATCATAACTTGGTTAAGTCAGATGTTTGTCCACATGACAAACAAAATTTTAGATCATGCGAAAAATTATGTGGTTCAATAGAATGTTTACAAGAAATCAATGGTTCACATGCAACAGTCGTATATCTTAGTATTATTCGTTGTGTTATGATAGCATTCATTGATTCATCATCACAAACATCGGATCGAATTTATTATGCTTGGCTAGCAGTCTTCATATGTCGTTTATGGCGAACATGGCTTGATTTAGTACCAAAACAAGATTTAGATAATCGTATATCACAAATGGCTAATCTTTCGGATATTGCCAAAGATAAATGCAAACAAAAAGCTACTAAAAACATTTTCTTTATCACATCATCAACATTTTTATGTCTTGAACTTAATGCACATCATCTCACTTATCTTACATTACTAGTTGCTGAGAGTCAGCTACCACCTGAAACATTGAAAATATCACTATTCAGTTCTCAGACATGTGAAAATTTTTTTCGGATTGACACGATCAATGTCTGAAACATTTTCTACGTCTGTAAATTTTTCTGTTCAACAATTTCTGAATCGTCAAGAAAAGATTTCAATTTTAAATTCTATTAAAACTCAATCGAATTCATCATTTCCATCTACAATATTCGTGTTTCCCAATCACCATAAAACACAACAAGATCACAAACATTCAATTATGCAACCAGAAAAAATGACGAAACAACAAATACAAGAACAAGTTGATCGCGCTTTTAACGATACATTTACTCTTTTACTTCCTTTGGGTGTCAAAGAAGTGTTGAAACAAGCAAATATTGTTACTATGAATCAAGTTAGTCAACATATATGCAATGATTTAAATAAATCGATAAAAAAAGCAATTTTTTTTTGTATCAATGACAATTGATGAATGCAGTAATCAATCCGATTCAGATTCCGAAGAAAGTATTACACAAGAAGATGAACAACTTCAATAAAATGAATTATATTCATGGGATGATGATGCCAACATCGAAAATGAAATTGAAGATGACAGTGGCATCAACGTATTATCACATACAACTAACACCTGTTTACAATCTATGAAAGGTGTGCGTGACACTATCAATCCTGACTTGAAAAATTCGTACTTCTTAGTTAACATTGATGGAAAAAGAAAATATCTTCATAAAAACACTGCTATTTGGTATTTGACCGATGGGAAAATATAAATTGTGATCGGATCGTTTAAATCGTGTTATGGAAAAATAGTAAACTTGTTTTTTTTTGATAAAAAAATTGAAAAAAATATCTATACTGCTTGGTTCTAATTGTTTAACCATTCTATAAACTTCACAGATAATATTTCATTTCTTACTGGCTCAAACATTTCTTTATGTAGTTAAATATTTTCAAATGTCTAGCAGTACTTGGAGTCATTGGCAGCTTATTAGAATTAATAGAGTCATATGGAATCAATAGAATCACATAGAACCAAATGGAATCATAGAATCGGCTTTTCCCCCTTGCTCCACTGATTCTGAATGGCTCCAACTGATTCCACTGACTCCGAGTGACTCAAATGCTCCAGAGTCAGCTGTTTTTTTCCTTGAGTTGGAGTCAATGGAGCAAGGGGGAAAAAGCAGATTTTGGCGTCCAAAATCTTTCAAAATCTCTCAAAATCGCTGAAAACAGTGCAGGAAGTGGTTAGCTTGGTTCGAGATCTGTTCAGTACTTTATTCCCTTAACTTAAAGGAGAAGCTTTTGGATGAAATAAAATAAGTCTATGTACGTATATGTATGCTTATTTGCAGTCACGTACCTTCATACATGCATTCGAAGTATTACATTAACTAAGATTGCTATGGGTAATAAGAAAGATCGATAATGAAATCGAAAATCAAAAAATATGATTGATTATCATTGATTCGAATCATTGATTACCAATTCTATGTTTCGGTTTTATTTCGGTTTCAGCTTAGTTTTCAGCCTTTTCTTCTTATTATTAAATGGCTANTTCATATAAAAAAATTGATTATCACTTAATTTAACGTTAAGTCGATATAACATTGGTGTAAATTAATTTGAATACCTATTATTGTTAAATATTCAATAGCCAACATTTGTATCAAAAGAAGATGATGAAATGGCTATTAGGTCATTTTCACCATATGATGTGTGACAATATAGATGTTTCAATGATTTAACAGTGAATAGAAGATCATGAAAAATAAGGGATATTAATACTGATATCGATTGATTTGAATCATAGATAGAATCGATGGATATTGATTTTAATGATAATCGAGTTCGAATCAAATTCCACATATTTCAATCGATCTGATTCAATGTAATTGAGTATAAATTTGAAAAAATATTATTCATAGTAATTGAAGAAAACAAAAACGACTAATTTTTACATTTTTTATTCGATTCAGAGAACGTCACAGGACCTGCAGGACGATATGGAAAACAACACTAAAATAAATCAGCTACATAAAGAATTTAGGGTTCATAGCAATTTTTATGAAGTATTTACTTATGAGTTGCATAGCGATGAATAGTTATAAAATGGAAAATCTAATAAAACCAACACTTCTTAGACATAATGTCTGCATTTGTCGTATGTATATTGTTATTAATTGTAATAGCAGTTTTTCAAAGTTTAGCGAAATCTATCGCATGATTTTCATTTTTTTTTCTAATTGGTGCTCCTTGGTGAAAAAAGAACAAGAGTTTCAAGTAATAAGACTAAAATAAGAGAAGTATTTATATTGAAAATATTTCACCTTAGAGTTGGAGTTGATTTTTACATATTTTCATAATTATTTTCATTAAATGAATTAAAATAATGATCTAGTTTCAATATTTTTACCTCAATCAGAAGAATATAGACTTCAGTCAACTATAACTATTTCACCTTCAGTACTAATAGAATCAACAATTAATGAATCAGTTTTTGTCGACTCAATTGATAGTCTATCTTTATATCTTAATGCTTCTTCTGCTATTCTTCTATTCTATTCATTTCATTTCTGTTGCAAAACGTGACTTCCGGTTTTATAATAAAATATTTTATGTTTTTCCATGTAAACAGTACTTTCATTTTTGATGTTGTATCTCATTTTAATATCAATGAGATAGTAAACTCTTTATCAGTATAATTATCTTTCGATTCTTTTTTTTTCTTACAAATCTCAAGTACTTTTTGTTCATTTCATTTTATGTCTATCACGAAGGATGTGATTAGATTATTTAATAGAATCATTATAAATGATTTTTATATAAAGAGCATTTCTATGATACTTGAGATAATATCTCACATTTACACAATACTTTAGCTTTTTTTGTCTTGCAACTGTTTCCTGCCAGGACGAAAAAAACCGTTGTGTGACGTTCTATGATTCGATTATCATCATTGTCAAAGTCCAATGAAAAGATGCGAGGTGCCGAATTTGGAAATCGACTACCAATAAATTCAAATTGGTTTTATACAATTAAAATCGAGTCGAAAATGAGAATAGATGGGACAAATAGAATAAAGACATTTATTGATGAAACATATTGATGAAAGAATATCGAATATATATTCGATTAATTCAACAGGCAAAATACTTAGATAATCTGACATATTGTGTGTGTTTGTATATGTTTATTTGATATATTGTTTCTATTTATATATGCAAAACAAACAATAGCCGTCAAACTCTTTGGTTCAATTAGTAAAATATGTTACATAGAATTCCAATAGTGATTTTTCTAGCAATGATATATTTCAGACAGATAAAACTGTTGCTTTCAGTCTTTTTTTTCTGAATAACATGGCTAACAAAATTCTTTAGAGGTATATGTTGAATTGTAATTATCGAATTGTTTTATTTTCCATAGCTAAATTGACTGAAATCTAATGAACTATAGATTATATAGTTGCATGATTAATTCAGATTTTGTTCATTCAAGTTTCATTTGACATTTGATTTAAAAGAAATTGAAAAGAATCATTTTTACAGAATGTTGATGCACAATATTAAGCGAAAAAATAGATTAGAAAGTCTCGTATTTTGTTTTTGAGTCATATCCCATGGAGTAAAATATTGAAGGAAACGGACTGCGTAACGTGTTTCCGAGATTGTAAGGTGTGCGTGTTCATGTGAGTGTCAATTAATACAACTGAGACAAACCCACACCCACACCCTACTAAAACTCAACCAGTTCAATAAATAAAATTGATTCAGCTTATTGTAAAGAATGTATAACTTATGTGACAGATACACGTGGAACAAAAACAGTAGATGTATCATGTTATACTTGATTTTCTTGTGGAAATAGATTATCGTATGAAGTTACATTTGATCTAAATGATTGGATTTCTTCAAACAAATAGAATGTTCAATTTTCAAAGACTCGATTGTAATGCACTTAGTACTAATGATCGAATTTATGAGATGAGTAAGATTGAATTCCATAAGAACAAGCTCTTAGATCGTACATCGAGTAGTTTCATCCCTGATGTTTTTATTTAATTTTGATAAAATGATTTTCATGTCTTTTATAGTTCTATTCGTCAAAACTTTTAAATATTTTGAATAGATAGAATATTTTACTAAATCTATAATGTTTTAAAATCCCATTATTTTTTTTTTATGAGCATTGACATTTTTGTCTTGAAAAGGATCGATTTAATAAATAACTAACAACAAATCTGTTTCATTTATGAACTTGATATAGTGGAATAACTAGATGCTATCCTCGATCACTACTTCTATACACAAGTCATTCCAAGACATAAAACCAACCAATAGAACCACAAAATTCGGATTCAATATTACTTTTGAGACAGAAGACGTACTACAGTCCCTTTTATGTGTCTTGGACCCTTTACAGTATAAAAAACGAATTTGTTGCTTAAAATATAATAAATATCACTATTTTATATTAGAATTTATCTCAATTGGGTTTGAATGCTACTATTAATAATCTGGTATATCTTCTTTAACTAGGTCAACTATTTACTGAAAATTGACTCAATTGTAGTGATTTGAAATGTCACTTGAATGTTATCCAAACTCTTGTTAAGAAAGCAGATATGAGTATGAACATTAGTTGGTGTTACATATTTTTATATATAAATCTGTGAAAAGCATATCAATTGGTATTCTTTTTCCATTTTTGCAACTTACTTGACCATCTATCCGTGATAGGATATCTAAGGAAGATAATACTGATTACAGATTAAGTCATAAGCGATGATTTGCAGATCCGGACCACCTTAGTATTATAGAACATAGCAGAATTATACAAACATGACACTGTGGAAGAAGAGACTCGAATATACCAATTATTTCGCCATTCTCTCATAAATATCAATCGAAATAATATTGCATATCTATTCTTGATATATAATACACTATTCAGAATATATAATAAACGAACAAATGGTTATCAATAGAGTATCTTTAAAAAAAATAATTGCACGAGATGAAAATAAATTGCAAAGCAAACAAACAATACCAAAAAAATATTTTATATTTAAAAGATTTCTCGCAGTAATTTTAACAGAAAATAAATTGCGATCAAATTAAATTCATTCAAAGATAATAGTCGTCGAGCATTACTTTCTGTTGATGTTATTATATATATGGTTGATGTTGTTGACGATGTCAATACTGTTGTTGTTTCTGTCGAACTCCTGCTAGTTGTTATGACCTCAGTAGTAGTGCTAGTAATAGTAGTAGTCGTTGTTGATGTCGAACTAGTTGTAGTAGTTGGATAGAGAGTATCACATGGTCCTATATCAATATCATCAAATGCAACTGCGACTGGTATTGTTAGATGTTGATATGCAATGAAATAAAGCGTCACTTGGCAGACAATGTTCGGTACAGGTGCAATGACTAGCTGCCACCCATGACTATCATCCAAAGAGTGAGTCCATAAACTTGAACTATCACATCCACCTGTCCATAAACTCACTGTAGTTCCATTCTTGTTTTCTGCTGATGACTTAACATAATAAGCAAATCGAATACACATACCTAAATTTGCTTCTACTACTTTCGAAGGATGAATGCTTCCAGAATCTCCACTCTGAAAAGGTAAATGTCGATCCCAATAGATAAAACCACCTGATGTTGAATTACTCGTATGATCTCGCATTGGACCTAATTCTCGATCAGGAATAGAATCACCAGTGACAACAGTGAAATTATATTTAGGAGGGTCACTGTATCGATCTTCATTCTTCATATCACACATTGTCAAATTGTCAAAATTACATGAAAAAGAAAGGAGTGCATCATTGACAGTAAATGTTGAAGGAGGATAATCACACGATGTTATGGAAATGTTATCGAGAGCAAATGAATGTGCAATAGTATCGGTACTATCCACACGAAACAATAGTGAATAATAACCAACAGGTAAATTCATAATACTCCAAGTCCTATTTAAAACAAAAAGAAAATATATCAATTCTATAGTTCATTTCAAGTGAATACTTACCAACTATTACTTGTATATCTAAAAGTCAATCAAAATACTGATGATTTTTTTTTTTTCAATATCACTTACATATATTCTGTATAATTTGGTGGCCATAGTTTTTGTATAGTCTTAGACGAATCTGACATCCATGCATATACTTTCAAATTGCTGACATACGAGCGACCATATCCATAATATTCAAAATTTAAACAAAAAGATGCATTAACTGTGATATTGAATGATGCTTGTAGAGCAAGATATCCAACATTTCCTTTTTCTATTATCTTTGAATTAGGTACAAATGTATAATGTCCTGATTGATTACCAAATGTAAAATCTACAGAAGGTGCTCCACTTTCGATTTTAGCAGCGTCACTTGCTTTTATAATCGACCATTGATATGGATAATGTGGTAATGAGATGATATTATCGACACAAGTTGATTCAAAATCACATGTAAATAAGATTTTTGGAGGTAAAGGACGTGGTCCATTACAATAGTCAATAGAAATATCATCAAATGCCAGAGGTACAGCTGAAGTATTTAATCGAATAAATAATTTGATTTTCTCAGCTGGCAATGTTACATTAATCAATGTCCAATCATTAATTGATGGATCTTTACCATGAATAGAACCTATAATTCTTGTAAGTTGTTCATCATCACCCTGTACTAATTGGATAGTAAATGGAAGACTGAAACGAGGAGTATAATACCACATTCGAAAACATACAGCTCGATCTGTTGATAATTGTAACCATTGTTTTGTTTTTATTTCAGCATTTAGAGTATAAAATGGTGGTGGAATTTTCGGATTATAGAATAAATAATGACCGGAATTGTTATTCAATGTATGATCGTGATTGATAGAATGAGGATGAAGACCATCAGTTAAACCCCAATTACTATCAACGTCAAAATCATTACAAATTGTTTCAAAATCACATTGAAGAATAGCTGTTTGGCTGCATAATATATGTCTGAGAAGAATAAAAATAAAAAACAACATGTTGAATATTTTTCATTGTTCTAAGCTGGATTATTTATATAGACAAGATTAGATAACATGTTGCATATATGTTGTGCAAGGACAAACTCTTGATATATAAAACAGTAAGGTCATAAAAATGATAAGAACAACAAGTTCTTTTTTTATTTATTTATTTTACTTTTAGCTTACTAATTGTGTATATATAAATATTACTCAACGAACTTTAGATCAGTAATTTATTCAATTTTTTTAACTAGCTCTGTATGCTGCTACACTGTAAAAAAAGGTACTTTCTGGAACCTCAAAAAAAGGTTCGGTAGATGACAAAAAGTTTGCAAATGTGTTGAAAGTTTCAAAAAACGAATAAAAAAAACCCGGAACCTTTAAAGGATCTTACCG